ACTTCCGACACGAAATCCGGGGCTTGCTATCGAGAAACTTGGGAAAAATGGACTCCCGTTGTCAATAATGGAATCGATACCTTTGGGACGGCTAATTAATTTTGGAGGATTAATTTTGGAAATTTGGAAAGAAAAAATTTATTTGCAACCCTCTCTTTCCTTCGTCCTTTACACTTCTGACACGAAATCAGGGGCTTGCTACCGGGAAACTCGAGAAATAAAGACTTCCGTTGTCAATAAAGGAATCGATATCTTTGGGACGGCTAATTAATTTTGGGGGATTAATTTTTGAAATTTGGGAAGAAAAAATTTATCCGCAACCTTTCCTTTCCTTCGTCCTTTACACTTCCGACTCTTCCGACTCAAAATCCAGGGCTTGCTACCGGGAAACTTGAGAAACAAAGACTCCCGTTGTCAACAAAGGACTCGATACCTTTGGGACGGCTAATTAATTTTGGAGGATTAATTTTGGAAATTTGAAAAGAAAAAATTTATTTCCAACCCTCTCTTTCCTTCGTCCTTTACACTTCTGACACGAAATCCAGGGTTTGCTACCGAGAAACTTGGGAAACAAGGACTTCCATTGTCAATAAAGGAATCGATACCTTTGGAACGGTTAATTAATTTTGGAAATTTGTGAAGGAAAAATTTATCTGCAACTGTAATTCGAAAATAATTTAGTCAGTGACGTTAATTGTCATACGTGTTTATTTTTCGAACGATTCGAAAATGTTATATAACGAGATATATAAAATTTCCGAAAACAGCCAGTGCTAGTATACGTACGTATTTTGTTCGGAACTTTGTTTCCCTGACGTCAGCTACTTCCTGATATTTCAATATACGAGAGTATAAAAAATATACAGGATCCTTATATGTTACGAATATAGAGCGGAAATTGATATCGATATTCCGAGAGACGCTATCTTTGACGTCAAGCAACGTCTTTATTATTACTCTGGCCGGGATCAAAAATAAATTAAGAGAACATCGATCGACGTTTCGCCGCGTAAAAATTGGATCGCAACTCGAAACGGTACTTGGAACAATCATCCCCCTTCCCGTTTCCATTGCAACCCCTATTTACGATTCCGTCGCGACCATCAATCTTCGCGCTGGAATAAAAACACGCCGGTGTCGCTCGAGTCTATTAGGGCACGGATGAAATTTCGTGGAGCCCCCTCTTTCGCGCGCCACCTATCATTATTAATTCGGAATAAAATTCTTTCCTCGGAGTCGCGGATAATTGGCCTCGCGCGCCTTCCTCTGTCACTTTATAATACCCGTCATTATTCACTTCGCATGACACGCGTTCATAACCGACAAGTTTATCGGCGTATATTTCATCGGTATCATCGACAACGTCTATTTTCGCGAATATAATATATCATCGAGCTATTATTATCTTGTACGAAACAACCGGCGACGCTAAAAATCCCCGGGCATTAATGTCTCTCCTCTCTCGAGGAGACGCCAGGTCCTCGAGAGCTACGTAATTCCACGGAATCGCCCTCGCGGAATACCAAGTGCCGAAATTACCCTCTAACTCGCGTGGTTCAGCGACCAAGCCGATTGACCTTCGCCGTCGCGTTTAACTACCCCCGAATTAGACGCTGAGGGACCGGACGCGTCCCGACGCCGCAGTAGGCGGACCAAATTCGCCCCCGCGTGCCAAGAATTCAGCCTCGAAGATCCACCGGCCAGGAGTGTCCCTTCGAGGCTGATAATCGTTCCCGACTATGCTGACCTACCCCATCTTATCGTCCGTTATTCGCCTCTAGAGGGGGTGAAAATATTTCGCCTCGAACACCCTATTTGGTTTGGCGCCTCTTGCGTTTCCGGTGTCGTTGCTCGTCCTCGAAGAATACGCTGATCGACTCTCTCGCTCGAGGTGCTGGAACGGATATTAATACACGTTCTGTCTGGATCCGTCTGTCGCCGACAGGGTTTCGGTGAGGATTTTTCCACGAGTGCTGGCCACGGTCCATTGTGGCGGAGGCGATATTCGAGGGTGGGTTTGCGGCCGAGTAAGCAGTATTTGGGCACAGATTATTGGTACCGTGTGGTATTCAATTTCCTTTTTTCTTCTTTGACAGTAATTCTGTCATAGTCTACGTAACCGTTTTTTAAATTTACTGTTTCACAATTAGCACTCGGCTTTGCTATTTTTCTTCTTACATATGTGATCGATTTTTTAATTTCTTTCGTTATTCCATTTTTTTATTATTATTATTATTATTGGTATCGTGTGGTATTCAATTTCCTTTTTTCTTCTTTGACAGTAATTCTGTCATAGTCCACATATCCGCTTTTTAAAGTTACCGTTTTACAATTAGCACTCGGCTTTGCTATTTTTCTTCTCAGATATGTGGTCGGTTTTTTAATTTCTCTCGTTATTCCATTTTTTTCTTTTTTTGTTATTGGTACCATGTGGTATTCAATTTCCTTTTTTCTTTTTTGACAGTAATTCTGTCATAGTCTACACAATCGTTTTTTAAAGTTACCGTTTTTCAATTAGCACTCGGCTTTGCTATTTTTATTTTCACATATGTGATTGATTTTTTAATTTCTCTCGTTATTCCATTTTTTTCTTTTTTTGTTATTGGTACCATGTGGTATTCATTTTCCTTTTTTCTTTTTTGACAGTAATTCTGTCAGTCTACACAATCGTTTTTTAAAGTTACCGTTTTTCAATTAGCACTCGGCTTTGCTATTTTTATTTTCACATATGTGATTGATTTTTTAATTTCTCTCCTTATTCCATTTTTCTTCTTTTTTTTTTTTGAAATTTTGTTTCGTTTTCAGTCACCTATCATTTGACAGGTTAATCGGTGAATTTTTTATCTATGGTTTTTGTGAGTGTTTTATTTTTACGGGGTTATATTTGTGGATAGTATATAATAAAATGAAATTGCGTTTAATATGATGCGAATTTTCCTTCTCTTTATATTTTTAATTTTATTCCGTCCATGATTGAAGTTCGAATATATTTTTAGAATTTTCAGACTTCGACATCGTTACGTGAAACCAAATGCGCAATATTTTGCAAGTTTTGTAACTTTTATTCCGTCTTCTGAATTATACATGTTAATAATATTGAAAGGAATAATTTTTCTACAGCTGTTTACAAGATTTCGATTATTCAGTGGCCGATGACGTACAACTTTTGTTGCAAAAATTTGCGATTGAAGTTCACGCTGTTACGCAATCACCGAGTTTCTTCCGCGTCCCCCGATCGCCTATTTCGTTCTACTATAACGACTATAATCGCAATGAACCCGATGCCTCTAAACCCCACGGAATATAGAGCATCGAAGGCTCGAATTCCTTTGGCAATTTCCAGGTATTAATTGCAACGCGAATTAATTAGTTTTTAACAGAGTATGTTATTACCCGAACTAATTAGCGGTTAGTAGAGCGGAATGTTTCTATAATTTCGGAATTATAAATATAGCGTGCGGTTAATGGACGCTATATATCGAATTCGACGTCGAACTATCAGCCATTGACTTTGAAAGCGTTCGGAACACCCAGTCTGATCTGCGCACTGCGAGCATTTTAACTCGATATTTCTTTTCGAATTAAAAATTCTGCGATTTTTATAATTAACGAAATTATTCCACCGTGATCGAGATTTCCAATGGAAATTTTTCGCTCGTTTCCCGGTTTTTATGCGGGGCCAGAGCCATTAAATATCTATGGGGCCACGGTGTCGGGTATTGATTTTATGGTGACATCGACATGGCCGTCTAACAATGAGTTAAGAGGAACAGAGCCATGAGAAAGAGAGGGAAAG